GGAGGGGGGGGGGGGGCAAGGGACGGGACTTTGGGTTCAGCTTTTCAACTGATAGGTTTTTGGTGACTGTCGGCTACGCTCGGCTGCCGAGCCCGGGCGCTCCCCTTATGCTATTAAAAGGTCACATTGTCGAACCGGGGTCCGGCTGTGAAGTCAAAGTATATATAATTCATATAAAGACTATGCACATATATAAAAAAATATACAAATAGTACTGGTGAACATTATCAATTTTTGTACCTAAGTCCTGTGTTTTGTAAACATGTCTTTTATTTCACACTTTTCTTTTTTAATAAAACTTCCCGGCCGGGCTAGCGCTAGTGTGGGAATTGTGACCTCAGCAGTGGTTTTGATTCTCACTTGTAACAGCCGAATGTCGTGTTTTCACGAATAAGTCGTTTTTCGACCACCCTTTTCTGTCCTATACCATTCCAAAGTATAATGTGACAAGTTGGGCGTGTGGCGTAACGACAGAGGGTTCGGCCCGGAACCAATAGGTCCTGGGTTCGAACCCTTCCATGCCACCGATTGTGTGCACTTGGGAAAGGCAATTTACATGATTTTCCTCAGTTCACTCAGGTAAAAATGAGTACTCTGTTGTCCCCTGTGTTGGTGGCGGCATAAAAATAAATTGAAAAGAACTGAGTGTGCCGTCACCACGTCTTGTGATTACATCTTGGAATATAGAAAAGAGAATGTGACAGGGTCCTAAGTACTAGTCAAAGAAGTACTCTGTTATCATCTCTCTCCAACATAGTAGAGCTACAGCATCTCAATGACAGTTCCTTATTATGTTCCTTATTGCTAACGAGGGTCCACGTCACTTTCACATTCATAAAACTGTAATGTTATGATGTAGTTCAAAACTTCATTTACTGTACAGGTAGATTCTCATAATTGATAGATCACCAACTTGTCTTGTATTTTTATACTCATTTTTTTTCTTTTACCACTTTGTAATCATGTATGTAATTTGTCATTGTGTTTTACTCACTTTTTTTGTTTGTTTTTGAGTAGAAGGCGCCGCAAAAGCAAATGTGCATCTTGTCTAAGGCCACACCAAGTAAATTTTATGGATGACGTCCTAAATCTAATGCGAGAGGGTGAAAAAAACAAGAAGGGCCCTAAAAACAAGATGCCTAGATTAGAAATATACTAAGAGACGACAAACGTTACGACACAAATTGAATGAGGTGACACAGTGTAACAAGCAAGAAGTCTTTTATTTATCATCAAAACAGCAATATATCAGGTGGAAGAGCAGTTATCGTCTTGTCCTGTTTTCGCATTTGGGTTTCACCTCAATCCGACGATTTGCGGCACTGTCACGACTCTTTGGTCATAGTTACAGGAAGCGGAATTTCTTTTTTTTCTGGGAACAGGCCAAAATCAATGCGCGAGCGGACGTCATCCATAAAATTTACTTGGTGTGGCCTAATACTCAATAAACATGTGAATAAATTTTCCTTCTCAAAGGTTTAACCATTTAAGTGACGTGTTTGATGACCCTGCCGTGAGATGCGCTGTCGGGTATTCGTCAAAAGATACAGTCTCATGCCAGGAGTTATTCTACTTCGCATGTGAATTCGAATTAGGTGAGTGAGGATATCACTAATATCTACAAAGGAATATCAGAGAACAATTTCTTTTATCTAAGACGGACGTATTGTTTTAGGTGGCGCTAGTTTAGTGGGGTGGGGTTGGAAGTTCGGGTTCCACAGTGGGAAGGATGGTGCAGTGGACCTTTCCGGTCGAGCACCGTAACCCCCGCCCCCTGTTCTATTTAGAACACTTCGGTCAAAAACAGCGCGGGAAGGACCGCGCAGGCTGCCGCCACCAGAATGTCGTATTTGCCATGGATGACATCCTCTGGGAATCCTAAAACTGATGTGAGCGTGTGAATAAAAGCATAAAAGTTTGGCAAAAAAGTTGTTTTCATTATGAAATCTATGGAGGTTGAACAAATGACACAGAGTATGGTAAAGTTAATAATCTGGTCTTTAAATTGATTTTTTTTTTACATTTTTGGCTTTTTCGTTTGATTTTGGCATTGTATCGCTTTTTTTTCAACTTACGGTATAGATTTGCTAATTTTACAACTCGTTTTGTACGATTTACAGTATGGTGGAAAAACTTTTTTTAAACGGCCGAAAATTCATGTCATCCATATAATCGAATCAACATGGCCTAAGGGGTATTTGCCGTTGCATTTCCATGGGTGAATTTACCCAGAAGAAGAAAAATAAGGTCTCCCATGCTCTTATGTCGATCGTAGGGTGGTGACCATCTCCATTTCCGTAGCCCTTGGGCGACACACAGTTGTGCAAGGCACTACAGCAGGGGGCTAGTCCGCTTGTAGTGCTGTGTGTTTGACCTTCCCACACTCTTTCTTATATGTGCTGAGTGCTAAGCAGAGAAAGAAGTGTGTACCATTTTGAAAGTCTTTGGTATATTTAAACCCGGCCGGGGTTTGAACTCACGACCTCCCGGTTACAAAGCGAGCACTCTACCAATTGAGCTATTCCACGGAATTTACTAATGAAAAGTATAATCTGTTTCTAGGAGCTTAGCAATCTCTGATTTGTTGTCTTTCCCGCAGACCTTGACGGCCCGGATTCTCCATGTTTCCCCACGGTAGTTCTGGATACCGGCAGTCGCCCTGTCGATTCCCCGTTTCAGCTGCTGGGAGCTGGGGACTTCTCCACATTCGGGAGGTATGTTTTTAACGGAGTAGTTCAATGCGAGGCCTAGCTATGCGACCACTTCTCGGCATTGAACTAGAAAGATGAGAGAGACATGGCTATGTCAAGAGATGGCGGTGAACGTTTGATTGGGTTGGTGGGAAACACTTGTCAGGGAGGGAAGTCCAAAGCTTTGTCGTACGGGGAAAGAAACTGTCACTGTAAAAAGATTTCGAACAAGGAATTTGGACGGTGAAGTTGTGTGAGCTAGTGGAGAACATAGTGGAACGCTTAAAAGTTCTGAGTGGTGGAACTAGTTGGGTGAGTTCTGCAGAGCAATGACCATGAAAATATCTGTAAAAGAGAGATAGAGAGGCAACATTTCGTCTATGGGAAAGGGGGTCTAACTTTGATCAAGAGGATAGCCTATGGCCACTCAAATTCTCTTCTGTATGCCATCGAGAAGGTGTAGGCAATCGATTGGGGCACCAGCCCAGAGGTGCGAACAGTACTCCATACATGGACGAATGGTGGGTTTGGATGTTAGGGGCACACAATGCAATTTCAGGGTGGCAAAACCAAAATATTCTGGACGAGTAATTTTGTCTTAGGCCGCAGCATGTAAATTTTATGGATGACATCCTTCGCAGACTCCAAATCCAATGCGATAGGGCGAAAAAACAAGACGGGCTAAAAAAAACAAGATTCCTATATTTTCAAATTTTGACATCATAGACACTGTTAAACAAGAAATTATAACTCTATTGTGCTAACTTTACTGCCAACTATCAAAGTCAAAACAATAAATCAGAGCCTTGTCTTGTCTCCTCTCTTCATGTTTATCTTCCATACACGTTCCAGCATGGCAAGGCATGCCATTTTTATTGTGTTATGTATGTCACAGGGAGCTTTGAAAAGCGCCAAAACGGCGATATGCTAACCTGTATAAATAAATAAAAATGAAATAAATGAAATTTTTGCAAAACTCTTTGCAGAAAAAAATGGAATTCTTTGTCTTCACTGCTGCCCCCAAAAGAAATCAACCCCCCCCCAAATCCTACATT